CAGTGCCTTTTTTGGGAAGTAGATCCTCTCTGCTAGCTGCCCTATTGTCATGTCGTGTACCAAGCATCTTGAGGGACAGGTGGAGTGACCTCTGAACTACAGAAGCCCCAAAGAGTGCACTGGTGGGAAAAAAATCTCAATTTTCCCAAAATTAAATCTTTATAAATGAGAAATTCGAATTAATCGATGAAATTGATTAATTGCCCAGCCCTAGTTGGAACCTTGAATGTGTCGGAGAATGGAAAACAAAGTTTCTTCAAATGTGTAAGTCATATTTGATACGTTTTGCAGCAGGAAAGTAGCAGTCATTGTGGGTAGTGATTTTGATTAATGTTGTGGACTGTAGTGAGCCATATAACTCTCCAGATGTTGCCCAACTCTGAGTCTCAACAGGTTGCAGGACTGGGTTGCATGGCAAGCATTTTGCCTCTGCCTGTAAACAAAAAGCAAACCCACCAGGCCACTCTCAGGTCCATCAAGGTGAAGGCAGCTTTAGTGTGTGCAGATATATTGTTCACTTATGTTTAAGACGACCATTTCGTTTTCTTAAATCTCCATTTGTTGCTTTGTGTTAGATGTTTGGGAGGTTGTGTACGGGAACACAAAGAGAAGATGTCAGTTTTGACATTTATCTTCACCCTGGCTGGGTTGCTTTTGCCTTTTTCTTATGGAGGTTTGTTAATATGTATCAGGAATATTCACTTTTCTTTGTTCGCCCTTGTCTGGCAAGCTGTAATGTTTTGCTTATGAATATTGATACATGAAGTGTATATTAATGACCCTTGGTGACCTTAACCCTATCCTTATTGGCTCCCTGGTGATATCTGCAGGCTCATGAATATTAATCTAGTTCTGTAACCTCCATTACCCTAATCTTTGCTGTCTAGCCTCCCAGAAGGACCTGTTGTCATGGTAACCCTTTTACTAGGCTCTTCCAGACCAAGGGTGGGAAAAAATGTGTTTTTTTAAAAAAAGGACAGAAAAAACTAAATTACACAAATATTTTAGATATGCCATGTGAAAATCTTTTTTTTTTTAATTTAAAAAGGTTGGATTAGCACTGCAAGTGTTTCTTTTGCGGTCTTCTTTGACAGTGCTGGAGTGCATTTAACTGGCAATTTGACTTGTTTTTCTACAAAGCTGTGATATGGTTGTTAAAAACTCCTAAAAGCTTTCTACATTTTGCTTATTTCTTTTAAACATACTTACAAATTTACGTAAACAAAAAAAGATTTAGCTGCTTACAGGATAGAAAGTTTTGTCTTTGCTAACTTGAACATTAACTTCTCTGTTGCCACTGGCTAAGTAGTTTGATTTGTCCTCTTACAGATTTGGACGCCAACGAGGAAGAGGGGCCTGATGGCGAAGCTGTGGAGGAGGAAGGCTGGTATGGGAATGCTTCTGACACTCGCTCAGACTCGTCGTCTTTCGGAGACACCCAGGATGAGCTCCTCCTGCACAGAGGCTCCTCGCCTGACGAACAACCCGGAGCCGGCGTCGGCTCGGGGGAACACGATACCTGTGGGGGTGGCAGCTCGTTGGGCTGCCCAACACCCGTCCATCGTGCCTCTTTGGAACTTCTTGGTCTGGATAGAGGTTCATTCTCGGCCCAGGACACGCTCTCGTCTGTGGTGTCGTCACTGTACGGCGAGGCAGCATCTCGAGCCCTGGGAAAACCACTCAGCAGCAACCTCCGGCGTCTCCTAGAGGCTGGGTCACTCAAACTTGACACTGGGGATGTTTTGGGTCACTTATCCAGGGGAAGTGCTGGGGGAGAATCACCTCCAATTGGTCTCGCTCCACCTCTGACTCTCTCCCCATCGTCCCACCATGCCCAACAGTTAAGTGCTCTTGCCCGAAAACTGGCTAACAACAACAGTGGCTCTGCCTCACCAGTCTCCTTGGCACCCTCAGTCACCAACATTAAGCAAGAGCCCCTCGATCCTTTTAATTCTGTCACCCCTACCAATGGCAGCAGCTTTGTGTGGGCAGGCGTGGCAGATAAGTGGCCACCAGCCTCCTGCTCCACGCCCTGTGGCTCCAGCCTGTCCCCGGACTCTGCGATCCAGAAGTTGAAAGCGGCAGCCAACGCTGTGCTCCAAGACAAGAATGCTGTTGCTTCCTCTTCAACGACATCCTCCTCCTCGTCCACTTCTGCCTCCTCCGCAGTGCCCACCTTGGGTGGGGGCGTTCGAGGAGACGATGTCGTGCGCTTTGATGCCTTCAACTCTCCGTTCAGTCCACAGTCCGCTAGCTCTACCCTCGCTGCACTTTCCAAGAAAGTTAGCGAGAGGAGCCAAGCTTCGTCAACAACCAGCGCCGCTTCGGACCACCAAGCCTCAGCGAGCTCCTTTCTCTCTCTCGTGTCAATGACCTCTTCTGCTGCCTTGCTCAAGGAGGTGGCTGCCAGAGCGGCAGGAAACCTGCTGGCAGAGAAAAAGGAAGGTTCCCCTTTGGCTTCTGCAGGGGTCCTCCAAGAGGATGTGAAGCCCCTGTTGGATAAGAACCAGAAGGCCCCCACACCCTCCACACCATCGCAGAACTTGGAATTGTTGTTGCCATCTCCTCCAAAGGGCAGAGGCAAACCAAACAACCAAGCAGGTAATCTGTGGATTAGTAGGCTATACACAATGTGTCAATCTGCAGATGTAATGTTTGTTCTAATAACTATGAAATTGTTGATTTTATCATTTAATATAGTGAAAATTGGATCTTCTGTCATCTGTTTTTTGGTTAGAATTAAGCTTGGCTCACCTACTAAAGTGTGCTTACTGCTATTAATTGTTTTTGTAAACGCTAAATACTCATTTATCTTTCACACAATCCCTTTTCAAAAAACAGAACAAAAGCCCAAGAAAAATCCCATTAGGCTTGTGTTTATTTAAAGAGTTGGCACACATCTAAGACAATTTTAGCTGTTTTTTTTACATCAAAAAATAATTTTTCCTCCTTCCCTGTCATAAACGTTTTACACATTTAATTGATGGTTAAAAGACTTTCTGGTATTTTACCTTCCATTTAGAATACACAGGTTAAAATGCATATTAAAAGTGATAAATTAGAAGCAACTGTGCACTGAAACCACAACCTGAAAAAGACGAGTCGTTTTTGTCATTGTGCTTGACAATATCAAGTTTAATTGTCATCCTTACAATATCAGAAAAGCACAACCCTGAACTTCCATGACATGTTTTGTTGTTTTGTAATAGTTTTGTTCTCACCTCAGTGGCGCTGAAGTAGCAAGTGGTGTAGCCTCAGCTTAACTGTCAGCTGAGCAGAGAGCAAAACCGAGAGAAAACAGCCCTGGCTGGCCTTATAGTCTGGGAAATGGTCTGTGGGCTCAACGGGGGGTTTCAACTGAGACCTCACTGCCTCCCCAAACCAGTTCGTTTGCGCTCGGGCGTGCATGCTGCCAAAAGGGGGTCGTCAGTGTGTGCTCGGCTCAGCAGGGAGCCCTGGAGTCCATATCCATCTCAGCAGCCTCCTCCTGGCTTCAGCCCCCACTTACTAGACCAGAGCCCTCTGCACTCATCAGCACAGTAGACTTAAGGCCAAACACATCATACTTTCCACTGACTGGATACAGATGCGTGCTTACACTTTTTTTTCCATCTTACACTCTCTCTTTTTTTTTCTGCGTTGCTCACAAATGGCCATGCAGTGTACTTGGCAGGCATTACACTCAGATGTGGACATGTAACCTAAACAATGGTGCACACAAGGACCTCACTCTTGCGCAGGAGGAGACAGCTTCAGACTCTAAGTAGTCTTCTTTTTTTTCTTTTTTTGTCACTTCAGTGGAAAACAAAACCAAATATTAGTTTATTTAGTTTATTTATTTCTTCATCATCAGTGACTTTTTTAAGTGAAGAGAAAATAGAAACAGAGAGAAAAACAGAGAGAGAAGTAATTAGAAAGATAGAAAGATTGAAATAGCGATTAGAAGTATATTAAATATACACCAACAAAACACAGGACCACACACCCAACATCTGTCCGCTCACCTGAAAAATAAATTGATAAATACATGGAGGGCATATATAAACATATACACATACCAATACATATATAAAGATATACATACATACATACATGCCTACATTCATAAATATTGTCAGTATATACACACAGACATATATACACACTCATTGACCAGTCAGAACCCCCCGGATCAGAACACCTGTTTGTGAGCGGTTGTGAACATGCGTGTATATGCAAGATTTCTCCAATGGAATATTTAATAGTGACTGTGGAGGACCGGAGACCCAACCCCCAAGACAYGAGGCAGACATAGGGAAGACCAGAGCCCAAGGGCCCGAGAGGGATCCCGAGCGCAGAGCCCCAAGGGGCACCCGCATGGAAAGATCTGCCCACCCACCCAGACCATAGGGGAGAACTGGGTGAGTACCCCCAGCGACCACACGCACAGCTCCTGGGGCCAGCAGCGACAAACTCATGGGCCCCACCAGCACCTGCCATACCAGAGCAGATCCTGGAAAGGGCACAGAGGTCCGGGCCCCCAGGRCGCACCCCCTCCAGGCCAAAGCCCGACAGGGCCAGAGGCCCCAAGCCCCAGCAGGCAGTCACCAGGCCAGGCCGGCACACACCCCAGCGCCCAGCCCCAGACCCCGGGAACCCCCAGCACGCCGGAGGCCAGCCGCACACCCCACCGGGGGGCCGAGTAGCAGCGGGCCCCCAGATAAACCAGCAGGAGGGGCAGCCCAGACCGCAGCCTGACAAATACCCAAACATACACAATCGCACCATCCCACCCTCATCCTCACCCCCACTCAACCAAAGACATACAAGGACGCCACATTCCACTCATACACCTGATACACACTCTATACCCCCCAGGTCTAGGACATGCACCCACACCCTTTTGGAGGCAGCACACACCCAAACCCAGGAGGTAGACCCAATCATTCTGCGGTGGAGAGGAGCAGATAGCCAAGGCCCGGCCTGGGCCGCACCAGGACGCCTGGCCAGCCCCCCGCCGCAGAGAAGCCACACCCATGACTACCCCACCACACCGCCAACGACCAAGTGCACCCCCCAGCCATCCACCCCCCGGAAACCGGCAGCCACCCCGGCCAGGGGACCACCCACAGGAACCAAGAGCCACACCTCAGGAGACCAAGCAGCACCAGGGAGGATGGAGAGCCAGCCCCGCCCCCGGCAACCGTCCAAGCCCCGAGCCCACCCACAGCCCAGGACCGCACCCGGTGGCCCGCCCTTCTTTAGGACCCCTCCCCAAATGGCAGTCGAGGAACGGGATGGGAATAAAGACCCTGACACCCCCACCCCCACCCCCAGATGTACTGTTGGTGCGTGTTGTTCTATAGAGTAATTAAAAAGGGAAAGAAGAAGAGGCAGAGGCCGGCATGGTGCCAGTTTCCCCTCCACCATTACTCTAACCCAAAACCCTAAGTGTCTATATGCAAACCTTGGTGGGTGGGCACAGGCACAGGAGGCGAGAGTGGTGCCATCCGGCCACCTATAGCCAWRRGTGCCCACCTTAAGTTCCTATATGTGAATTTCATGAAAATRTTATGAGTGAATGTCTAAGATGTACAATAAAATTTGGGGCCCAGGTGGTTATGGCAAATAGAAATGTAATATTGTTGCTCTTATAACACAACTGTGCCCCAAAAAAACTCCACATGGGTGAAGTTGAAAGTGAAGAGGATGGAGGTGTGCGGTGAGGGATGGGGAGAATAAGCTGAAGGAACAAAATGCTCCCACAGGGAGTCAGCTCCCCAGCTGGCCCCAGTAAGCTGTCCCGTTCCCCGAAACCCACCCAGGAAGAGCAGCCCAAATACCTCTCCCTCCAGGCAAACCGCCAAGCCCACGGAACCCCAGACCATGGACTGACGGAGCCCCGAAGGCCACCAGAAACYGGGACCAACACCCCACCCCTCCAGAGCCACCCAGACCCCCAAAACTCGACCCCAGCCCCATAGCCGCCCCATAGCCCAGAGAGGCCACCGTTCCCCAGCAAGGACGACCCAGCCAAGAGCACCCACCCAACCGCCGACAGAGCAAGGAGGCACCCAGGGTGGGCCCCCGCCACAGCAAAGGGGCCAACCAGCCAGCCCAACACAGCCCCCAGCCACCACCAAAGGCCACCAACCCAATCCCCACCCCAGAAGAYATACTACACCCACYCCAACATTTGGGCCACTATCAGAACATATAACACAAGGACACCCAGGCTGGGTCGACCCCCCCCCCCMCACACACACACACACACACACTAGCTCCATGTCACGCCCCCAGCCAACCCTTACCCCCCAGCCCATGAGAACCGCAGACCACCAGCGCACCAGAGGCCCCCAGCCCAGAGCCGGGCACCAGAGCACACACCGACCCAGGTGCCCTTAAGTAGTCTTAAGGGAGAACCAAATGCTTTCAGAGATATTGATGGGCACTTTTGAGGGATTGTGTCGCAACCCTGCCAAACCTAAAATGGCTGGATCAAATTGACTTCAGACAGATGAGGCAGTCGATGTAATATTCTGTGATCTGCATGCTAAAAAGGTGTGTGGGGGGCTGCTCTAACCCAGCTTGCCGTCAAGGTCGAGCAGCGCTGTAAAAATGCAGGTAGTTGTTTGGTCGCCAGACTGAAAAATGTGACCTTGATTATCGACTGTCATGTCTTGTTTTATTGTCATCCCCTGCGAGTTAGACTATAAAACTGTACCACAAAGCATGTTCTGCACTCAGGCTATTTAGAGAAAACTTGCTCCTTTTTTTCTAATATGTAATTAAGATTACGTAAGACACAGATTTGTTAAGTGCCAGGAAAGAGGCACCAAACTTCCAAACATTTCCCCCCTCTGTTTTATTTCTGCTTCAATCACCTAAAATTCGTGTAAGCAGGAGTCGGGGTTTTTTTTTTTGCATTGTGATCTCTGCTGAGCTTGGAGAGGTTGGGCCGCAGATGGTGGTTTATTGTTGCAAATAGGCAGTCTCGAGGTTTTACACCTCAGGTCAATGAATGGCTGAGCGCAGTAATTTCACCAAACACTGATTACCAGATGTTTTTCAAGGAACAGCCCTGGAATACTTATGAAGCCATCCTGACAGGCCCTTGTAGAATTTGTAATGCAATCATGCCTCTTTCTAATAAGACCAATTAAACAGTAATGGATGCTGGATATGAAGCCAACAACAATAATCGAGACACTAAAACATGCCCGAGTTTTTGCTTTCATTGTTACATCGCTTCCAGCCACCGTTTCCCTGGACAGTTTTTATCATTAGGTGTGCAGACGTCGTCTTCCGCAGATCTGAGCATCAAGTCACTTCATTATATGAAGGATGTTTTTAATTTCTTTAAAGCATTAAAGGTGCATTCTGGAATTCGAATGGTTTAAGTGTAAAGTTTGAAATTCATTGCATGTTTCTTGAAAATACAGTAAGGTGGATTTTTGTTTTGTTTCCTTAAGGTTCTCCTGAGGATGGTGGCAAACCATTCCAGTGTCCTGTGTGCGGACTGGTCATCAAACGCAAGAGCTACTGGAAGAGACACATGGTCATTCACACAGGCTTAAAAAGTCATCAGTGTCCACTGTGTCCCTTCCGCTGTGCTCGCAAAGACAATCTCAAGTCTCACATGAAGGTTGGCTAAGAAAAATTTTTTATTCGATTTATTTCTTTTGCAGCCATGCACAACTCTATACTAACAGAGATATGTTTTATTAGTGCCCACTATGATCCTTAAAATATGTTTTAACTGGTTTTGTTAAACTATTATTTGTATTATCTTAACTAAATTAAGTGGGAAAAACTGTCGCTCACTCCCTCCTGTGTAGAGAGAGGGACAAGCGGTGATTTGTCACATGAGCCTTCGCTCCCTTTCCAGGTACATCAGCACCAAGATCGGGGTGAGACATTTCAGTGCGAACTTTGTCCCTTCACCTCCTCCCGACACTTCAGCCTGAAGCTTCACATGCGGTGCCACCAGCACTTCCCTCGCACAGACGTCAAGGTGAAAGAGGAACTCACCACGGACACAGAAGGCGAGGGCTCCCTGTTGGGCGACAGCGGTACCACAGACCTAAGAGCGGCAGAGGTGTCTCCGTTGCACGCGGAAGCCCAGCAGCAGACGTCCCCGCCGGTCGAAGCTTCCTCCAATCACGTCCACATCAAGGAGGAGCCGCAGGAAAGAGACCTGTCCCTGCTCTCCCCTTTCAGCATCTGCAGGGACCGTCCCAGCAGCAGTGCCAACTCCCTGGACTTATCTGGACTACCGGGAGTTGGGGTGAGGTCAAGTCCTAGTGGTGCAACCACAGCCTCCCTCTTCAGCCCTGACATCACCACCAAAATGGCCACTGACCTGCTTATGAAGCTTTCAGGTATGATTGGTTCTTTTTGGTTTGTTAAATTGCTCAGTTCCATCTACAGCTGCAGGCAACTTTTAAAAATGTATTCACATTATTTAAGTAGATGTTTCTGTTTTATTAACTAAATAGTTTAATTTGACTCTGATACTAATTCGTCATCAATTTTCACCCCTTTAGAATCATGTTTATGTACGCAGAAGCTTGTAAGTTTTAAATGTTCAGGACTAAATCGAGTAACTTCTGTCCAAATGTGTTTTATGTTGCATTGAGTCATAATTGTGCTGGAAAAAAATCATCTTAGTCATCGGTTGTTGCTTTGTTGTATTGTTTTCTTTACTTGACTTTAAGTCACCCTAGTCATTGTTGTTCCACTTTCATCAAGACTATTTCAGTTCTTCAGAGGCTGAAAATGAAGACAGTCATGGTGAACTTCAGCAGGCGATTGTCTCCCTTTTGCCTCAGGTTTTGTTTCATTTCTTCACTGCCACCAGAAATAACATTCGTAAGAAGCGTAAACACTTTCTATGTTTATCACTTCAGGTCAGAGCTGCAGTGTGTTCTTACTGGATGTTAAAATAATAGCATCTTAAAATGTCTGCTGGATGGTGGAAGCGTAACGTGACTAGACAGAGGTCATTCTTTGAAAGGGAAGTTAGCACAAGTAGTTTACACAATATGAACCAAATTTACACTGCATGGATTGGGTAAACTCAGACAAATGTTATCAAGCTGCTTAATTATTGGGTATATGCATGTTTTCACTTGTACACAGGTTCATTTTCAGCCTTGCTTTCAGATTATTTCAGAAGTTGAATTGAAACGTGGGTCATAAATGTTTAGCCTCTTCAAAAACTTTTTGTTTGCCTTTTAAAATGCCTCATGACTTCAAATTGATAAGGACTACACTTGAAGTATTTAAAAGCTTATTTAGGTTGCTATGTGGATTTATTTGAGGAAAAAAGACCCACTTTGAACATTTTTAATGACAAAGATAAAAATTTCACAAAATTAGAAAAATATTGCCTTTTTTAGTATTGCTTCTATTTACCGAAGGTTTTAATTTATTGTGTTGCCCATAGATATAATACAGTAAAATGACAACTCAATCATATATTAATTTATTTTTTTTAATTATCTCCTAAAGACTCTCCCAAACTAATGCAACACAAGGATAAATGCAGAAAGATGGGTTCTGGCTCTTCAAACTCATCTTCAAAATTTGACACATCTAAATTGTTGATGCCCAGTTCATGTTACTGTGGAACAGCCAAGTCAATTTACTGGCACTGTTTTTTTTTTGTTTTTTTTTTTTTGGTCATGCTGTTTCAAAGAGGTGTAGGAATACACAAAAGAAGAAAAAGTCCACCTAAAAGTCTGTGATTCTTAGACATTATTAGATAATAAACAACATATGGCTTGATTTGTCTGGCTAATCAGGAGCACCTCTGGAAAATTGCTCTGAATCCTATATAATGATGGTTTCTTGATATTATTTGAAAAAGGGGATCTCAAACCATATTTGGTTATCAATATTTCTCAGCTGGTATTGAAAAGGGCTTCTAAACACTAAAACATTACATTACCTCGCAACTTAGTTCTTTGATGTGAGGGACCACATTTTACTTGTGACCTTAAAACTGTTAGTATAGCTTCGCAGGCCCCAAATGTATTTTCATTGGATGAATTGCAATTCTCCGCATGCGTTCCTGCATACACTGTTGTGATTAGTAGCAGCTGAGCAGACTCAAAATTTCTACACATAAAAACCAATCAGTGTGTGTAACTTTATGCAGCCCTAATTAATGAACTAAATTAATGAGTTTGTGTATTATGGTCATATCTTCATGCATAAAATGTTTGCTTAAAGGTTGCCATTGGAATATTTAAATATTACCCAGCTGTAACATCCTTAAGTGTATTTATCAGGTTTAAAATGAAAATAGAATCCTTTATTCCCTATTAAAAAGTGTCACCATAGCTGCAGATCTTCACTCCTCTGCTGCTGGCCTCTGATTAGCTCAGGTAAAACAGTCAGGGACAAAATAATGTGCTCAAAGGCACCTCAGCAGTCATTGTTGAGGGATTAATTTTTCTTCACCCACATCCTGTCACTTGTCAGGGGAGTTGACAACGTCCTCCTGCTAACAATTCGTTGTGTGTTTGAAGGTGTTATTTTGTGGACAAAGAGGTGACAATTTCTTTGTCTGAAATTGTTGTGTGGGGTTAAATGGAAAAATGCAACACAAATGGATTTAAGGGTTGTTTTTAAAGTTTACAGAAGTCTTTGTGTTGCTCGTGTAAAATTCCTCTTTTATTCACATAAACTGCAGATACAGATGATCGCATGTTGTAGGAGATTGTACTTTTGGACATTTGTGATGTCACTAAATTAACGACACAGCAATCCTTAAAAGAATGCATACAGCCCTATGGTTGTTTTTTGTTGAAAACTGATGGAGCCATTTTTGATCAAAACTTAAAAATAATATGTGCAATCTCATGTAATATCACAAGAGTCATGCTTAGTGTGTTGTGAATAACTCTACTGTTACTACTACCAAATCAAATAAGTTATAGCCATTTTTGCATTGGCTAATGCTGATTAGGTGGCAGCCATCTTGAATTGGAATGATTCCCAATGTTATTCAGTTGTAGACATAAAATGATTACTTTCTGAAAGGCTCAAAATATATCCAATGTTTCATGAGATATTTTGCTAAAGGACAAACAGTATTGACCTCAACAATCAATAATAAAGTGTAAAATTGACTGAGTCAGTTTAGTGTTTTCTAAGGCCAATTGGCAGTGGTTTGGCTCAGTACGTTGTAAATGTAAATACAGTCATTATTTCCTGAAAGTTTTATTAAAATTGATCCAGTGGTTCGTAAGATATTATGCCAACAAGGTTGACTCCAAGTAGTTTATGGCAACAGTTTTAAATAAACTTTGTGCACGATCTGTGCCCAGAATATGTGATGAGAATCAGTCTCACCCATTACCACACTAAAGTCTAGCACGAAATCTGTAAAACTAACACAGTTATAAGCCTTTTTTTTAAGGTCAGTTGTCTGTAGCAGCAAACTTGAATCAAATGTATTAAATTGTAGATCTACATCCAAGGATCCCATTCTGCAAATTTAATAAAGGTTGTCTTCTGGTTCCTGAGGTAATTTGTTAGCAGACACAAACACATTTGGGAAAAAACATTATCATTCACCTTCACCTTTTGGTGGCAGGCAATAACATTTATTTAGACATGTGCTGTTGTCAGATTCTGAAGGTCCAGACTCTGTTTAGATGCATTTCAACATGATGCAAAATATCAAATGATGAGCCTGGCGAAAGTGGCAAGATTGATGGGAAAAGGTTGACTGAGGTCGAGCGCCAGGGTCGAGGCTCCAACTGCCACTCTTCCTGCTTAATGCTGTGTAATTAGATTGAGATCTTGAGGTAGGATGGGAGGAAAAAACCCTGGGAACATTAGATTAATTAAAAATTTATGCATAATTCATAATTAAAAAGGAATACATAATTTGAAATGATTAGCGCCCTGAGCGCCATCCTGTGACCCCTGCCAGCACGAGCGGGGACTGGGACGGCTTAGTTAACTCCCCCATGATCTTGCACGCCCTGGATCCACACGGATGCCCCCTGGGTGCCCATCGCACTTAGCGCCCAGACTGCACAATCAAGCCCGGGCAACTCCCAGAGGAGTCAAGATGGCTCCTTTTGCAATGTCAGTCCAGTGTCAAGTTCTGGACATCTTAGTCAGGACATCATTCAAGGAGAATGGAGGAAGCTTATAATGGACTGGAGGAGACAGACGACTGTGTTTGAACTTGAAGGCACAATGATGCATATAAACCTAATATATAAAAAAACTGCTGTTTTGATCGTGAAGCTCTTACTTTGTTGGTGGGTGAACTCAGAGTAGGTTTAGATCCTTGAAGCTTACCCAGGACATTGCAGCTGCCAGGGAGGCAGAGGTGAGGAAGTTCCCCCTGGGACCTCTAGACTCCATTTCCTTTGACCTCCCTGCCAACCCAGATTTAGTGTGTACACGAGCACCTCATCCCTCCCGCTTTTACAGTACTGCTGTCTCGGTGCCTCGAGTCCCACAAGACATATATGAGGAGTGTGGGTGGGTGGGGGTAGACGTTAAAAAGCTGGAACAAGAATGAAAGAGTGACAGCAAGTGAGTGAGACAAAGTAAGAAGCGAAGAGGGAGTTGCAGTGTGTCAAGCTCCCCAGGCATGAAGAAAAAAAAACCTGAACTCTCCCTGACCTCTGACATAATAAGCACGTCAGGTTTTTGGGCTGCCCTGCTTTCAGTGGAGTGATACGCTTTGATTTTTTATCCTTGCACGCTTATACAACCGTTAGCCATCTAGTGTGATCCACATTTTGATTCAGAGATGAAAGCCACTGAGACACTTTGAAATGCACAGCCCCTACCACTGTGCCCAGTGGACCCCGAGTTAATAATGACACTGGGCACTACACACCCTCCGATCCACACCACCCCCTCCTCCCCCCTCCCACTGCGGTGACACAGGCACAACGAGCTTGACCCTGGCTGGGTGTGAATAATTGGCATGCAGGGGGTTGTGGGAGGTGTTGCATCTGTCATGGTTCTTCTGCAGTTGTCTTATTTATCTCTTCTTCTTTTTTTTTTTCCCCCGGGAGTGCATCTTGCTTTGCTACCGTAATATTATGCAAAGGCAGGATATTAACTCTATTTTTTTGTGGCAGCATTTTTATGACATTATTCCAGCTTTAAACAATAAGAGTGTGACCAATCTTATGAAAACAAAACAAGGTTGTCTACTGTGTTTAACAGTAAATAGAGTACTGCAACGGCTTTTTTCTACAATCTTTTAACACAAAATGGTTTTGAATTTTATTATTTGTCTTTTTTTTGCGAATATTAGATTTTATCAGATGTTTCTCTTGCTTCCCAGGGCTGTATGAGCAGATAGTCAGGCTTTTTGTGTGTGACCTCTGGTCCATACATCCCCACTGCAGCCATCAGTATCACTGTCCAGTGTCTAGCGCTCTGCCAGCTATTGTTGGGCTCTCAACCTGCCCCCACGTAGCACTCTGCTTTCTTTCTTTTCTCTTTTTTTTTCTCTGGGAGAAAACTGCAGCCGGTTGTTAGAAGGGGAGCAGGCCGGCGTGACAGAGGTGGAAAGCTAATGAAGTTATTTGACGGCAGCCCTGGCCACGGAGCGAGAGGTGAGGTGGAGTGGACAAGCGTCTGGCAGTGAGACGGATGAGGCGCAAGAGAGAGGCAAGGCGAGGAGGTGGGGGTGCACAGGAGGGGGAGAGAACACAAAGTAAGAGAACGGTGGTGGAAGTGGCGTCGGTGGCAGGTGTCAGAAGGGTGTGATAACATGGAGACAAACTGATAGCATCGTCCATCCTGAGCTAGAGGCTGCCTTACAGTATCATGCGCAGAGAGCTGATGCTGGCCTTGGTTAGCATGTAAGCACCCTGCCAGCAAGCTCACAGAACAGAAGCTCAGTCACCCAGAGATGCCCATCTCCTCTGCAGATCTGTGTCTTCTTCACAAAATGATCTGCCAGGGACCGGATGGTCAGGATGCGACTGCAATTGTGAAACTTTGACAGACAAAAGACTAAAAGTGTAAGCTTGGTGTTACTGGCTGAATTTTGCCGCAGTAGGGCTTCTTGTTAGTAGCGTGTTCTGGCTTATTGTTCTTGAGCTATCAGCATGTATGAATAAAAAAAATACTTGCCTATTGGATTAAGCTACTAAATAATTCATTGGTCTCTGTAACATAGATTCAGAGTGGAAATACTCTCTATTTATAGCAACAATCCAAAAGGTCACAGAGTGGTGTGACTTTGTGTGAATAGATGTCCTGAAGTTGTTTTTGTTCTCCCGAGGCCACGGAAAAGAAGAATTTAAGAAAGTTTAAGTTGAGTGTGTTTTCCATCGGCTAATGTACAGCTCAACAAGTTTATCTCAGCATGTATCAAATTTGGCAGCGTGAAGTAAAGATTGTCCAGAAGAAATCGATACGTGTGTGTGTGTAGCCTATGTTTGGTTAAATGTGAATGTTTAATGGGGGGTGTGTTGGTGTAGACCAAGTGCGCTGTCCCTTTCTGATCCGACACAGCTCCCGACACGCTCCCAATTAGAGGACGTCCTTCCAGGTGCTGACCAGGTTATACTTAGCCTGCCCGCTGACATCCGACAGTGTGACATTTCCAGCTGGTGCCATGTGCTACCCTGCACCACTGCCCCCCGAACTTGAAGGTCACCCTCCTCCACCCCCCGGGCATCCTCTGGTTCACCACTCACGCTCTTCCTTTTGTTTTGCCCTCTTGAACTGCAGCCCCTGCCTGCCATTGTGTGGCACTGTGGCATCATGGCATCACATAAGTGCTTAAAACATCAACACCTGTCCCCCTTTCTTGCCCCGCATCTCCTGTCCCAGAGCCCTTCAGTGGAGATCATCATTAATCAGAGGGGCCGGAGTCGGCACAGATTGATGGCGCGGGCAGGGGCCGGCAGGCTTGTGGTGGTTAGAGATGTTAGGTGTGATGTGAGGGTAAGGAGCAGAGCAGATCTCGGCTGGGGTCAGAGGAGAATGGACAGCGGTCTGCCCAAGAATGATTGTCTCATATCTCTTGCTCAGTGTGTGAATGAAAGACATTCTGGGATATGTTTCAGGCCACGAAAGTCTCAAGAGTTGTGTGGTTGCAGCGACGCTCAACTTTTGCACCAACTACAGTAGCTTAATTCAAAACTGATGCTTTCTTTTGTTCAAAGTTGTCTTATCTGCATAGCTCTGTATTTGATTCTTAAAGTTCAGATATCTTGAGAAAGGACTTTTTGGAACATATTGTTTAACTTATTTAAATGGCTCCTTGAACAACTTCAATTTGGTGAAAAAATAATGTAATTCTAAACGAATAGACGAGTTAATGGCAAGAATAGATTGCTGCCATCTTAAAAATATTCCAGTCTCAAAATTTTAAAACTGTTAATATGAATGCTATTTTATAAACCTTTGCACTGCTTTTAGTTTTGCATTGCATTTCATTGTCATTTACATCTAAATATGTGATTATTTCCGTACATTAGTGGCATCAGCAGCAGTTAGGTGTAGCACTTTACTGTAGGTGCAACCTGGGGCACTTTCAGCACAAATACTAAAACATTCCTGCTGGAATAACTGTCTAATGAGAAGGTGGCAATGGTGTAAAGGTTAACAAAATAAAGTTGGAATGAACTGCTATTAAAAAATTTTGAGATTGAAGTTGTTTGAAGATGGCAGCAATCCTGCTTGGTCCAACCCAGAATAGTTGTAAGTTTGTCAATCTGGTCAGAATTAAGGTCAACTTTTCCATACTGAGGTTGTTCAAAAAGAGTTTTCTATGGTTCATTCCATAGTGTAATGTCTGCATGATATTTATTATTTTGACAAATTACTAATTCATTTTTCTTCAAAATGAACTCAAAGGTGAAATTCATTCAGTATTCAGCTACAACTAACTTTAAAAATAAATAAATGAACATGAGCCACATTTGTTTTATCAAGAGTTGTAATAGAATTATAATAATTAGGACCATATCTTTTTAAAAAATTTTTTTATTTTGAGAAAGCTACAAGGTTAGCCCCACATCTAAATGCCACAGTTGCAAATACGCAAGTGTGAATATAGTTTAGATTTTATAGAATTTCAACCAAAGAGATCAAGGCAATATTGCAAACTCTTAACACTGGTTGTACGTTCACTACTCTTCATTTTTAATTGCTTTCTTCCTTTTTTTAACATGAGTTTAAACAAAAATGAATTTTAATTAACAGAAAACGTGGCTACAGAAAAATATATAAACTGTTTAGGTATTTCATACTTGGACAACTCGGTCTGCTGTCTGTTATAAAAAACGGTTCAGTGCACCTATTTTCACATTGTTACTGTCCCTCAAAAAAAATTAATGTAATTTGGTTTTTATTTTAGTTAATTTCTGTTCCTTTTTTTCAGGTTTTTAAGGCACACTTTAAACAAGCCTTCACTTTAACTCAAAAATGTGTGGAACATACTGAACACAAAGCGAGGAGCTTGGCCTGCTGTTCTTTTCTTGGCGGCTATCGAAACTTGCTCCATGTCTAATTATTAATTATTCATCTAAGACAGATTAGATGTGGCCCAGTTTCTTTTTAAGATGACTTCAGACCAGAGCGACGCCTGTGACAGTTTACTCCCTAACCTAGGCTGCACATTGCAGCAACGATGCATGAATGTTCAACAATTTGCCACAAACCATTTATCGTATTCATATTTTGGGGGGTGTGGAGGCGCTACAGTTACTTTGGAACTAATGTGAGATTTGGAGTTGATTATAAATGAAGTGTAAAGAAGTGAATGAAAAATAAGGGAATTTACTGCTGATACTGAGAAGACCAAAATGTTTTTCTGCAGCTCGGCTGTTAAAACTCCAGATGGACCCTGTTTTATTTCACTGGTATTCTCATGTGTTGTTCAATGTGTTGTGTTCTGTTTATATATACTACTTTTCCGACTATAATGTTTTATCATGAAATGTTAAACTTACTATATGTTGCAGTCTCTCTTTTTATAGTGGAAAAGATAGTGTCCAAATTACCATTTTAGAGTTTAACTCGTATCTTTTCACTCCATCTCATACTCAGGCTTCACACGAGCATCGCTGGTATTCGTTTAATCATTCTCATTCTTTTGATTTGATTTGATTTATTGATTTAACAGGAAAAGATTACAAAAAATCAAGCCTGACTCAGCGTAATTGCTGTTTTACAGCAGGTTCCTGTCCTGCAGCACATAAAACACTCAGAAATACAGCATCACAATCACATCATTATACACCATAGACACAAAGACAAACAAGTATACCACATATACCCCATATTTTGATCTCTTCTTTATGCGTGCAGCAGCCAACCAGAGGGAAACACTCAAGTCTCCATTTCACCTGAAGGAAGAGCCCAAAGTGGAGGAGGCACTGAGCCCCAGACCATCCTCGCAGTCACAGAGCCAGGTCCAGCCAAGCTTTACAGCCACGTTCTGCCAGGATGGGCCAGCAGGGGCTGCAGTGGCCTTAGAGCACCCAGGGTCACTGAAACCAAGGGAAGGAAGCCCCATGGCTAAGAACAGCTTGCTCAGCCAGGATATTAACGTAAAGGTGGCCTCTGAGCTGCTCATCAAGCTGTCAGGTAGGTGTCATTCTCAGCAGACTTGTTTGTGTTTGAAAAAAAACTGGAGTTACAATCATGTAACTTTGCAAAACAACTCTCGTCTAAAATGAATGCATGTATTTGATGCATTAAGTTTTATATTTAAACTAGAATCACAGAGTTGACAACTTCCTAGAATATTTCAAGGAATACCATGAAAAGTATTTTATGTCATGCTGTAAAATTTATGTTTAAATGCATAGTGTGAGAGATTTGACTGTTGTCACTTACAGTATCAGCATGAAAAGTTGGAACTAAGTTCTACTTAAAACATGAACAAAATGTACCAGTGTGAAAAGGCATCAAGTACAGTCATTGTTTTTCTGAAGCCTTTTTTGTTTAAAAAAAAAAGGGCAGACAAACCAAAATTGTCTGTTTTATTGAGCTGAAAACTTAACACTGACTTGAATGAAGTCCTACATCAGTCATTTTAAGAGAAACAGTTTACGCTATTTCCCAACCCGTGTGTACCACTCTGAAATCTTCCATGGTAGCATGATTTAGACTTTATTTCTTCTGCTTTGAACTTCGCAAGAATGTTAGTAACACATCCTTAAGCAGTGACGTTAACTTAGCTTCTTTCTTTGTAGCACATGTATTTGGCATGACATACACTTTCCTAGTTTTTCACTTAGTGTATGGTCAGTCACGCTGTCAGGTTAAGTAGTAAAGCTGATGTGTATTTGATCTTGCATCAGAATGTCTGATAAAGGCGTGTCACAAACAGCTGTTTGTCAATCTGACGTCCTTTATCAATGGTATAGCCAAACAAAGACGCGGCCAAAAACCGAATGTCGCTAAAAATATTTTTATAATTGCAATACTCACCTATTGTTTACTGTACATCATTCTGCTTTAATAACTTCACAGCAAGCTGCAAAAACTACTTTCCTTTTACAAATACACATAAACTACAGACCTGTTTGGTCATTAGAGATTACACTTGGACAAATATGCATCCACTGTGTTTAAAAAAAAAAAAAAAGAAAAAGCCCTAAAGCAAATGGCAGCGCGATGGTGCTGCAGCGAAGCGTTGCTCTATCCGCGGCTCTTCATCCTGTGCCAGTGTGTGCATGCTTGACAGACACCTCGCACACCGGTTACCATTGTTCTCTCTGGGTGGACTGGTGTTCACAGTGACTCATGCTGGCTGCTAGCTCAGTGGTACTACACGTGTGCTGCTCCGCTGCCTGCCCCCGGGTCACGTTTCCCTGTGTGTGCGCATGTTTCTGTGTGCAGGGAAGAAAAAAAAACTGAATGTAAGATGTTGGTTTAAGAGCTTAAACAAAGAACTGAGCATTTCTGTACCACCTCCACCTGTGTTCTTTTGTTGTTGTATCGATGCATCCTCTTGCGTTGTCCTGCTGCTCCGTTCGGTGCTGCCCGTGTTTATCCCCTTCCATTACTTACACCACCTCTGCCAGTTTGACCCGGGTTAGGGAAAGATGCCGCAGCGTTCATCCGTCCACCGGCTCCCTCTGCCCCCTCACACAATCCTTGGAGCTCAGTGCCGTCCATTGCCATGGCAACAGTGGGGGCGGTAGATAGAGAGGGCTGTCTAGAGTGACAGCCTTGACAAGAGTCTGGACCCTCAAATGACCCTGTTGGGGGGGGAGGAAATGAGGGAACCCAGAAAGGTCACTGCCGTTCTAGTCATGTGTGATTACAGTCATGAGGTTCAAGGTTACGCACACCGTGACCTCCTGCTGTCCTCTGCTAAAGGTCAGAACCAGTGAGGAGACCTGAATAGGGAAAATGTAATGGGAGTTTAGTTTTTGAGCTTATTTCTTCAAGAACAGCCCAATCTGATGGGTAAAGTATTTATTTTTTTATTAATTTTTTTTTAGCAGTACAGCAAACGGACAGAGCTTAATTAAATTTCTGCTGCTCATCCTGCTTCGACCATGGCATTGGACCATCGGAGCAGGCGAGGTTGTTATCATTACTGCCCATTGTACTGTAACATGAGTTGCATCATTCCTTTAACTAGGTCGCTTCTTCTTCCCCCACCACCGCCGCCTCTGTTTCTTCTTTATCAAACATTTGTTGGTGATGTTGAGTCGCCTTGCCTGTGCTACCCCCCCAACGCACACACCCCCACATCTGTTTAAAACCAGGCTGCTGGTGTCTGGGGTCTAATTACGCCAGGCTAAATAGTCCCAGGCGCCAGCGGTTAACGTGTCCTAGCAGATGGGCATTGGTGTTGCGGGGCAAGGGGAACATGGCGTCAGAGGAAAGGAGGGKGGGGGGGGGGGGGGGGTGCTTGCAGGGCTGCTGGGCCCAAGGTGGTGCCCTGGCAGACTGGCATCGTGTGAGTAACAGCCGTGCCACCCACTCACTATCCAGCCACCCTCTCCATAGGTGTGAAATCTCACTTTGTATTCACTTAACTCCCCTCAACACTGCTCTTTATCTCACTAATTCAAGTTGCATGGAGCAGCTTTGACAGCTAGAAAGAGAGAGCCGTTACACTGAAGTGACGGAAACAAAAATGCAGAATTGTACCAGTTTATTTTTATGGATATTATTAAAACACTGTGTACACATTACGCAGAGATAAAGCAATGTTAGCTTCAAATACTGCAACTTTGATCAACCTTCACACAGTAAACCCCTTTATGTTCATGGTTTCTATTTCTGGTGGAAACATTCCTGCATCATTTTGTTTAATCTGTGTAGAAAAATCAAAAGTTAAAAAGAGCAGGAAGCTGGAGAATTCATAATATTGATTTATAGTGACAGTTCAGTTCTTAATTTTATTCAAATCCACCTAGTTAAGAAACAAGTAGTTTTCTACTAGATGAAGCCTAAATATCACTTTTGTAAACTGAGTATGGCCAAAATGGTCTTAAGGTCACTAAATTTTACAGATATTGAGCTAAAATTTGGCATGATAGTACCTGAGGGTCATCCACAACTCCAACTTTAAGCATCACTTGGTGCACAAGATCTCTGCTTAAAATGTTTGGCATTAACTGAGTCAACCCTGTTTGTAAAACATTTATTTTAAAGGGGACATGTCATGCAAGTTTCACACTTTCAGCCATTAAATGCATTTTGTTGTACTTGGAATCTCTAGGAGTGCAAAAGAGTTGAAATTAATCTCTGCCTGTGCTGCATAGTTATCTTTATATTCTGTTTGGGTCATATCTTTTAACCTGTTCAGTTTTCTCTATTTTCTATGATGTTTTCTGAATTATAACATCACAGTATTTGTGACAGAACAGACAAATAAGGTCTGGACTTACCAACTAGAATCAACACGAAAATATTCATAACTCAGTGAATTTTACAGAAAGTGAGATAAAATGTAATGTAGTAGTAGCTAAAAGTTATTTTCTGAGCGTAGGCTCTTTCATAATGTAATTTTCATGGTTGGACCAAGATGCTGTAAGGTTCTCATTAATCAAAGCAAGATGATCTTTGTGTAAAACAGGCATGAAAGGTGTTGGGTGATATGCATCCAGTCAAGCAATGCGAGGCCTTTAATCAAATCATTGCATCTATCTCTCCTCTAGGTCAAATCTGCGAAAGTTCTTTTTATTTTGTAGACACGTGCACTTTTGACCCAGACATTACAAGAGTTTCCTACAGACACTCAGAGATGTCCTTTTCCATCCATTAGGCCGAACTTGTTGAGGCTGTCAGTACTGGATGAATTATTTACAGCGATTGTGGAGAATTTCCTTTTAAGTGGAGTGATTTATTTCAAATAATTTTTAAGCACCTGCTTGACTCTGGCATTCACTATCACTTTTCTGAAGGTCTAATGGCACGAGAAGGACTTCACACACTCAAAAAAAGAAAAAAGCAGAGCTTAATTGATAGCAGTTAACAGAAAATGGTGTTGATTCGTTGGATCGTTTGTTGAAACCCCAGATTACAGCGGGTAAAATAAGTCTTGAACACGTCACCATTTTTCTCAGTAAATATATTACTAGAGGTGCTAATGACATGAAATTTTCACCAGATGTCGTTAACAACCCAAGTGATCCATACAAACCATAAATGTCCAGAAATGAAGTTATTTGTAATAATGTGGAATGGCACAGGGAAAAAGTATTGAACACACTTACTGAAATTTATCTAATACTTTGTACAAAAGCCTTTGTTGGCAATGACAGCTTCAAGACGCCTCCTGTATGGAGAAACTAGTGGCATGCATTGCTCAGGTGTGATTTTGGCCCATTCTTCCACACAAACGGTCTTCAAATCTTGAAGGTTTCGTGGACCTCTTCTATGAACTCTGATCTTTAGTTCTTTCCATAGGTTTTCTATTGGATTCAGGTCAAGTGATTGGCTGGGACATTCCAGCAGCTTTAGTTTCTTTCTCTGAAACCAACTGAGAGTTTCCTTGGCTTTGTGTTTGGGCTCATTGTCTTGCTGAAATGTCCAGCCACGTTTCATCTTCATCATTCTGGTAGATGGAAGCAGATTTTTATCAAGAATGTCTCTGTACATTTTTCCAYTCATCCTTCCTTCAATTATTTGAAGTTTGCCAGTACCATATGCTGAAAAACAGCCCCACACCAYGATGTTCCCACCTCCAAACTTCACTGTTGGTATGGTGTTTTTGGGCTGATGTGCAGAGCCATTTGACCTCCAAACATGATGTGTATTCTGGCATCCAAACAGTTCAATGTTGGTCTCATCTGACCAGACTATATTCTCCCAGTATTTCACAGGCTTGTTTAAATGTTGTGCAGCAAACTTTAAAGGAGCTTCAACATGCTGTTTCTTCAGCAGTGGAGTCTTGCGTGGTGAGCGTGCATACAGGCCATGGTGGTTCAGTGCATTACTTATTGTTTTCTTTGAAACAATCGTACCTGCTAATTCCAGGTCTTTCTGAAGCTCTCCACAAGTGGTCCTTGGCTCTTGGACAACTCTTCTGATAATTCTTTTCACTCCTCTGTCAGAAATCTTGCGAGGAGCACCTGGTCGTGGTCAGTTTATGGAGAAATGATGTTCTTTCCACTTCT